CCCAGTGCGAGGAACTGCTCCGAAGAGCCGCTGCCAAGCTGCTTGGAGCGAGCGCTGGGCTGTGAGTGGGGAATCAGCGCTGTGCGCTTCGTGTGCGACCTCTGGGGCCCCACCAGGCCTCGCTGCTGGAGCCCAGCTCCTGCAAGAGAGGCAGCGCGGGCCGCTGCGGGACACCAGCAGGGACGGTCGCAGCGGGAAATGCTGGTGCCTCTGGCTTCTGCTCTGTCAGGAGGGCTGCTCGGGCCCTGCCGCGGGGCTGCTGCTCTGCGCCCGGGCTGGAAACACTTCCCTCTGCAGTAACCTCTGTCTGTGTGTGTTTGTACGCCTTTTCTGTGGTTCCTGGGGAAGAATCCCCGGCCTGTGTTAAGGGAGCGTCGGTACCTGCGGGCTGCAGCCGGGAGCATGGCCGGCCTTTCCAGGCTGGGCTGTGCAAGGGCTTAAGGAGCAGAAAGTTTGAACAGAAATAATGTGTTGCCATTCAAGCGTACAAAATGCTGAAGAGCAGCCATTATTCCTGCTTGCCCAGGAACATCTGATATAAAAGAATTGTGACGCTTTTAAAACTGTCGATAAAAAAATCTGCAGAATGACACTGGCTGGGCTGAGCATGATTTCAGCCCAGCGTTGCTGGCCAAGAAAGCTCATTAAAATAAAATAAAAAAGACCTAAGAAAATCAAGGATCTGTATATCAGTGTGCAGCTTGCAAGATTCTTGGCAGCTGGCTAAACATTTATATGCAATTTATGAATGGAATTCATTTCTCAATAATTGTCTATTTTTGCATAACGCCTTCAGGCCTGAGCATTGTTGCTGGCATTATATCCAACTTCGGCAGAGAAGTTTGTCACCTGTGCTTGTTCAGAACACTGCCAGCTTGAGAGATCTCAGGATTTTTTTGCTGTGTCCTGCCAGTCATCTGCTACATGAATTACTTGTGGGTTTCTGCAGTCCCTTGAGATTGTTTTAGACATGCCTGTTATCATTAAAATTAACTGAATCTTGTAAGAGCTAAACAAGTTGTGCAGTCCCAGAATCTTTATGCGGTGTCAAACTGAAGACTGATCAAAATCTTTGAGATGCTGCTTCAGAGCACTGAAACCTCACAGTCCATAACCCATGGCATTTTCTTGTGAGGTACGGACAGCAGAATAAAAGCAGATTTGTGGCCGTATGTGAACCTGGACAGGTTGCAAAGAAAGAGGAAAGTAAACCTCTCCCCAGACCAGAAGAACCTAAATTGAGCCATACATTGATCTCCCAGACACGAGAGGAAAGTTAATAAGGATGAGGCAAAAGAGATGTCTGAGTTGAGATGGACAACATGTATCTAGAAGAAAACTTCTCTGCTTCACTGCCCTAGTCTCCAAGGAGGCAAGCGATGTCCGTGTGATCCGTGTGGGTTTGCAGCTAGGTCTGCAGTTTGATTTCTCTCCTGAGGGTTTCTGTTCCCCTGGGGTAGCTGCACAACGATTCTCTTCTCGTTTCTGGTTCTTCTGCTGCTATCTATAAACGTTTTTGTAACCACAACACTGAAAATCCATAAGTGATGATACAAGATACAAAATTATTTGAAAAAATCTGTACTGCTATGCTGAAAACTTCTTGTGAACATAGTGTTTGATCCTGTTTCTCTGAGCATGATATTGGTGTCTGGAAGTTCCTCTGGAGGGTTACTGAGCATTTAGTATTGCCATTGGGGCAGGATGAGCTTTAGGCATCCAGTGAGATGAGGGATTCAGGGATCTTACCCTCTAGATACGCCTATACACTACCAAAATCTCGTGTAACAGATTTGCAGATACTGTTTTCAGTTCCATTAACTGTTTGTCACCACAGTTTCTCTTCCTAGCAAAGGGAGTCCTTCAGTCTTTAGGCTCTGGGATGAGTTTTTAATTTCCTGTGATGTCAGCTTCCTCCTCTCCTCAAGATGATGGTAGGGGTACGGCTTTGGTTAAGGATTCTGGATTTCACCCTTGTCTCTGAGATCATTGGACTGGTGTGGTATGAACCCAGGCAGGAGCTCTTTCCCCACTTCAAAATGATATGCAGGGAATTAAACAAACAAATCTTGTCTGTGCCGTGTGGGCGAATGTCAATTTTTTTACGTGGATCAAGCGCTTCCCTACAGCATTGCTGTGCCACCATGCTCCAGCACACCAGACCCCCAGGAGAAGCTGTCATCTGCAGTCCCTGGAACCTGGGCTCTGCCTGCCAGCAAAGAACAGAGGGATTTTAGTATGTATAGCACATATGTGAAAACTTCTGTTTCACTCTGACTTCTCAGTTCGTAGCTTGCGTAAGTGCACTGTAGTTGTGTGCTTCTGTGTCCAAATGTAAGTGCTGTTGCCTTCCATAATGCTGTAAGCGTGTTTGTAGGTACTGTTGCGCCTCCAGAGTGGCACATCTTCCCATTTTCTGCTCCTGGAGAGGAAGGAATACTGTCATGGGATGTGTCATCAGGATTGTGTTGTGGTGGTGTTCGGTTCCACGCTGCAGCCTTCTCTTTGTGCTGGAAATGGTTCCTTTCAGCTGGTCTAATTAAGCTGACAAATAACGCAACTTGGAAAAAAACAAAGTGTGAGGGACTTTAAAGTCTGCTTGAACTTGTGCTGGAACAGACTCCTTTCTCTTCAGGGAGAGCATGTGGCCTGCTCTCTTGGGTTCATGAACTCGAGCTTTTGCCTCTTTAAGGAGCTACAAATACTTATTGTGAATGTTACTCAAGACTATGCCAGGACTCAAAACTGAGCATGCCTGCGGCTGGAGGAGGCAGCTGCGGACAGCCTTCTCTTCCCCCCGCCCTGGGCTAACCCCATTTCAGTGTTCACAAAGTGACTGGCTTTTGTCAGGACTTATTCATTCGGGTTATTAAATTGTATTGACCTGGAACTGTGCTTGCAAGATATCCTGTGGTCCATATAGCAACACAGGGACAGCTCTAGTTGCCTGTAACTCTCTCGTGTGCCTAACAAGAGGAGGTGATGCAATCCAGGGAAAATTTGACTTTAGCATTTGGTTGAGGTTGTGTCTGAAAAACATTTTCTCTCAAACTGGTTGAGCATTTTTCACAAAGCTGTTGCTCTGTCTTGCATCAGTGACTCCTTCACCTTTCTGTTCCCCTTGCAGAGCCTGTGCCAGTAGCGAGACTGAGAGTGAAGCTGGGGATATCATGGACCAGCAGTTTGAGGAGATGAATAACAAACTGAACTCAATGACTGATCCAACTGGCTTCCTGAGGATGGACAGCAGGAACAACCTCTTGAACAGGTGGGAAAACAGCACTGTGACGATCAGCAAGCAGAATGAGACATCTTGGTGATGGGCTTCTCTCTAAATTTCAAGTTTAGCGTGCAGCCGATGCCATTGCTCGTGGTCTCCCTATTGCCCTGCGTTGTGGGGGCACAGAGCAGCAAACGGATACTGTCCTTTATGGTTGCAGTAACCACCCATTCTTCACAGCATGGATGTATGGGGAACATTAAGCATCTCTCTTAGGAAAAAGGTCTCCATGTTAGTGCTGTGAAGCACTGTCCCCTTCTGAGCAGAGGGGCCCATAGGCATCCTTGCAAGAGCCCTGAAGTTTCGGGAGGGAAGCAGATGAAAATCTGCATGGAAGAGAGCAGATTAAGAAATAAAGTGGGAGCAGGAAGTGTTTCTGTGCACTGGCCTAGAGCTCTAACAGGGAACTGTGAGCTCCTAGACTTCGGTTAAGCAACAGAACTGAACGGTTAGCCAGAGCACAAGCTGTGGTCTTGCAGCTCCAGGCTCCAGCTCACCTCCTCTGTGCAATGGCTTTTCTGCCAGCTAGTACTGATGTGAGTTTGTGCAGCTGTAGGTTGGTGCTGAGGGGATTGTTGCTGCTGTAGTGCTTCAGATGATGGCGGAATTATGGCCCACAAGCAGTGACTGAAGGTATGGCATCTGTTTGCTTTGGCTTCTGCACTCCAGGCGACAAAAAAGAGTATGGCCTGCTTGGAGCTGAGAACAAGAGCTTGTCTTCCCTACTGCCAAGGCAGACCCTGCATTCCTCATGTGGGGCCTGAATGCGTGTTCACATCTTGTGCTTGAATGTTGGAGATCCTCAAGGGAGATTGCATGGCTTGGGGCCAGTGCAAGTTTCCTCACGCACAGGCATTGCACATGCTGTTAAGGTCCCGTGTTAGAAAATGAGACCCTGGAGATGCTGGGACTGTTTGGAGCCATCTAGTCTCCATGTCTGGCGACAAGGGGGTGACTGAAAGGAAGCCCTTGGTTTGGGATGGGTGCCCTCTGGCTGCTGTTGTCAGGTAACCTGGCTTTTAAGCAGAGAATAGTATGGGTTTTTTGGCAGTTCTGCTTAGAAAAGCAAAAACATGGGGCTTTGACAGTTAACTTAAGGAATGTCTTAGAAGAAATGGACTTTGGAGGAGAAAGAAGCACTGAAGGGATGCTGCAGTACTGGGCAGTAGCTGTCTAAGCTGTGGATGCCGCTAATACAGCTCCCAAGACAGTCCCAGTTGCTCATGTCTTATGCAGCTTTGTTTTTTTCTGCTCCTTAGGGCTTGTAGACTTTTGTTGGGTTTCCAGATTAAAATTTGATTTCCTCCCTGCTAGCTGTCTTCTGCTCCAGCAAGTGACTTGATCACTGCCTGTACCTGGATGTAGCTCCCCCACCTTTTCTTTGGCCTCTCCACCGTCAGGGGATACAGTTGGTCCTCCTTCCATGTACCTGCAGAAAATATGAGCAGCCCTGATACTGCTCAAAGGGTAAAATATGCTTCCTTGAGGGCAATTTTTGCCATGCTTTGTGGTGATAATTTGTAAAAGGCAAACTGGGAGGTAAGGAGCAATGTGACTTGAGATGCAAATGCACTTCTGCCAAGGCCATTGCCATCTCCCAGCTTCCCTCACGACTGCAAAGAGCTTGTTTTTTTCCCAGCAGAGTCAGCATGGTCATGGTCCATGGCCAGTCCTACAAGCATAGTTAAGAGATTTCCAGAGCAACCGTAGTGCCCCTGTAAGAGTCAAGTTTCATGCTGCTGACCACCCTGTGATGTCTGAGCATATCTCCCCTCTCCTCCTGGTGTGGAACCCTGCCTTTGTGTTGGATTTGGCCCCGCTAGCTGTGCTTACATCATTGCACAGCGAGGATCAGCCGCTTCCTGAGGGGTGGGGAGCCAGGAGCAAGGCGCAGCAGCAGAGCCTGCAGCACAGGGGCCGCAGCAGCAGGACGCAGTCCCACAGCACCCATTGGAGTGAGCAGGACAGACCTGGGGACGGCAGCCAGAGTCCAGATTGTCCGGCAGGTGCCTGGTGCTGAGGCAGGTCTGAGGCCAAGCCGGGTGTGCAAGTGCACTCAGGATGGGGTCTGGCAGCAGAAACTGGGGTCAGGCGCAGCCCCCGAGGGCTGTGCAGGTCCGTGGGGAGGGCGCAGTCTGTGGGACAGCAGTCGGGAGGTCGGGCTCTGGGTCAGCAGGGTTCACGGGCAGGCGCAGGCAGGGCTGTGGTGGAGCTGGAGACAAGCGTACCTGCAGCAGAGCTGAACCAGAGGCTGAAGGCCCAGACCCCAGCTTAAACGGAGCTCCTGGGCCCGTGCACAGGGCGTGTTGGTGAAGGCCCCAGTTCAGGGTGTTAATGCCCTCAGGGGCCTGACAGCTTGTCCTGGAGAATGGTGACCCGGACCCCTCCCGAGCAGAGGGACAGGGGTGTACCGCGGATGCTGGCTGGCCGAGGACAAGTGGGGTCTTTGGGGGGCAGATGGGAAAGCAGTGGCTGGGGGGGCTCTCCTTTTTTTCTCTCCGGACAGGGTGCAGCGCTGTGGCTGCGGCTGCCCTAGTACAGACCACACAAGCAGAGTACTGGGTGGTCTGTGGGTTTTGTGCAACCACTGGTGGGTTCTGGAGATAATTGCAGATCCTTAAAAGCATCCAGAGGGAGCTCATATCTGAGTGTTTTCTGGAGCTTCCCACAGCTTGGCATTGTGAGTATGTCAAGGCTCCGAATGTGGATTCAGGGCTGCGTCTCTAGGAAGCGTCTTTTGGAGGAAGGCTTGCAGAATGACAGGCCTGATGGATGTCCATTGTCCTCAGGCTGTCAGACTGCTGCTGCAGTGAGTCTGACTCCCAGCCCTCCAGAACGGCTGTGCTGGGTCCTGAGTGGTGTATGACTTGCCCGGAGTCCCGGCGAGTGCCAAGGCTGGAGCTGCTCTGCGCTGATGGTGGTGTGCACCCCTCCTTCCTGCCTGGGACCAGCCACGCTCCTCCTCCGCAAGCAGAGCTGGGCCCTGTGAGGCTGGTGGTAGCCAAATCAGTCTGAGCCCAAGGCTTGCACGACACGGGCTTTCTCCCTCTTTCTCTGAGCTGTCATGGGATCATTACTTTGTTCTTGCATCTCCAAGACAAAGGGCGGAAGCAGAGTTAGCGCTGATACGTGCAGGCAGTCCTGAGCCCCGGTTTGTGCTGTTTCCTCTGCTTGCTGCACGTCAGGCTGCCTTACACAAAGGGTTATAAATAAGCGGCACTGCGGAGTGTGTGCAGAGACTTCCAGATGAGAGATTTTACTGTTCCAGAAATCAGGGAGCCCCTGTGCATTGCAAGAGCAAGGTAGAAATGATCAGTGCCACGTCCCAGAAGCCAGTGCTGCTGCTCTGTAGAAGGGGCGTTTGGCCAAAGGATTCAAGTCTCCGTCTGGTCACGTTGAAATCGCCTGCACTCCGATGCCTGGCGAGCCAGCTGGAGAGCCATTTGTTCGCACTGGTTTGGAAGAAAGGGAGTGTGCTGGCCAGGGCTCCAGATCCGCTCTGCCTGCTGCAAAAATCTCTGTCCGTCCTCCCCCTACGGATTTTCCCCCTCTTTGTGCACACAAACGCACAGGCAAGAGATGTGAAAGATTTATGATACTCCCTTGATTTTGTTCTAATAAAAAGCGATCTGAGTGGTGAAGGAATAAATCTAGAGCTGCTTGGCTGTGAAACCAAGATGAAGGAGGCTCTGCTGATTAGAGCAATCGCTATTCCCTGCAGTAAATTAGTGTGTGCAGATCGCTTCGTGCAGGCGGTGAGGCTGGCGAGTGCCCCCTGCTGGCAAGTAGCCGCTGCCTGGGAGCGTCGGGACTTGTGGTCGGACGAGAGCTCTGTGTGCTCCCGGGTTCCTGAATGAGCAGGGAGGTATTCCTGCCCTTCGAGACCGGTATGTCAGGCAGGATGTACCGGAGGGGGGTCCAGAGGCGAGCGGGTGGTGCTGAGTCCGTGCTGATCCACCAGTGAAGTCGTTATTGCTCAAGTCGCCTACTCAAGTTTCCAGCAGCTCTGAGTAGCAGCAGCGTACTCGTACTTTGAGCAGAATCTCTGCATTGGAGAGCATGGGCAGGTGGGCACCAGGCTTCCGTTTGCATTCTGAAATTACCCCTGTTGGCCCATAAGATGTAAATTCCTTGTTAGTGGGAAGCATGGGTGGTAGCTTCATTTTTTATTTAGAGAACAGGATTTAGACGTGATGTGAGCTGGGTCTGGAGACTGGTTGCAGCAGTGAGAGGGGACTAAGAAACTTTCTGACCTGTCTATTGGTACGTGTCAGAAGAGGTCAGGGGATATCTGAGGCTTGTGGTTTGTCAGTGGTAGGAGTGCACAAGTACAATATTTTTACTCTCCTTGTCTTCTCCTGCACTTTGGCTTAATCTGGTAGTATGAAGAGACATTGTGCCTATATGTATGTGTGTATGTATATCTGCTATCGGTGCATCTATGCATGCATACGTATGAATATATATACGTATGGCAAATATGTCTGCAAATTTGTCCAACTGTCTGTGGGGTTCTGAGTTTTATTTTTATTTCCTGGATGTGCAAAAACACTTTCTGCTTTTATTTCTTTTCTGTGTTGATAGCCAAGAATTGATCCAGGCAAGAGGTAAAAATAAGGAACGGAGACAAGGCATTTATCCTGAGTAACCATGCTTTAAAAAGGGACGTTGCAGATTAGTGTCCTGACGAAGCATGGACAAAACTATAGATGTTTTCCTGTTGTGTAAATTGGCAAAGGCACACAGCATCAGAAAGTGTCTGGGAGGCAGAACAGCGCTGTGTTTCACAGAGACCCAGAATGGAGGGAGGCTTTCTGTGCGCAGCAGCACAGAGCATGGTCTGAGCTGGGATTTCATGAAGCCCTCCATCGAATGCAGGTGGCACCTTGAGGACAAGGCGTTGCCTCATGGGTGGCCTTTATGCTCCAGATTGTTGTGTTCATTACTGGGCAGCCCCAGCGGGGACTCTGGTTACACTTAGACCTTGCACTACCGTTACTGTTCAATGTCTCATTTCCCTCCCCACCTTTTTTTTAAGGCCCACCTGTCAAAACTTTCTGTAAAGTTATTCTTCTCACATAAAATGGTTGTTCATGGCACCAAGCCAAGGATAACCTTTCTGGGGAGCACAGCTGCTGGATTAGTGAGACAGAATGGGGCAACATCATTTCCTCAACAGGGCAGTAACTTTAGTAGGCATGCCGTCTCAGTCGTCTCACAGTGACGGTGTTTGGTGGCTGGGGATGCCAGGAGAGCACGTGCAGAGCTCTGTCTGTGGGGATGTCAGAAGCGGGCTCCAGGTCAGCTCTTGCATCTGACTTCGTGGAACCGTCCAGAGGAGTGGCAGCAAGTGCAGGCATAATCTTTGTGTCTTCTTGTTGGCCGGTTGTCGTATTTCCTTTTGGTACCACACTAGATTTGTTGATGCAAAACCCACAAGGGCAGATCTTCCTGTGATTGTAACCAGTTGCTAATGGGTGTTGTGTTTGCCTGCACACAGCCATACGTATGCAGCAAAGACTGTGAGCAGCACTTCAGGCACTTGAGTCCGTAGAGAAACCCCATAGCAGTGTAACATGCTGTCTGCCGCTGGTTCATCCTGCCACGGATGCCGTTGGTCATTGTAGTGTGAAGCTGAATGGCAGAATAAAGCCCTGCCATGGAGCGTTTTACAGAACAGAGTCCTCTGGATGGACCCAGACTGGCTCATTGTCAGTGTTACGAGGTCACGGCAACCTGTAAGATTTCTGCAGCTAACTCTCCCTTGTCTTTTGTCCCCAGGAGCTGTCAGAGTATGACCAGTCTGTTCAGCAGTGCCGTGTCTCCTGTGAAGGATGGAACATCATCTCTTCCTAGGAGGCAGACTTCCTTCACCAAACCCCCACTCCGTGCACTCTACGACTTATTGATAGGACCTATGGAAGGAGTAAGCCTTTGGCGCAGACAAATACAGAGATTTGCTTATCGTAATCCCCTGCCAATGTGGGAAAGCAAGAGTAGGCAGCTTGGGGGTTGTCTCTGAGGTGTGGTGGTTTTCACTTGGTCTTCCCAGATGGTGAGACGGGGTGTGCTGGGAGGTGGAAACAAGGGATGTTGTTGGTACCACTCAGTCAGCTGCCAAAGTATAATGCTTTTGATGAACCTAAGCAGGAAGTGTATCCTTAACTAATACTAACTGGCAAACTCAGCAGCTCTATCTAGGGACAGATAGGTCAGGGAGATAGAAGCAGCAGCACTGGGAGGCTGGCAGCACCATTGGCCCACCCTGCGCCTCCTGCTGATGGGCAGTGCAGTGCTGTAGCCAGCTGCAGCCAGACAAGCTGGGCGTTGCTCTCTCTCCGTCCCAGAGGTTGGTGCTTTTGCAAGAATCATAGAATCATAGAATGACCCG